ATAATAATAATAAGGACAAATTAATAATAGCAAACATCAATATTTATTCCCAAATAATCCATAATAAAACGGGGTATTACAGTCTATCCACCTTACAAAGAATTCCGTCCTTGGAATTCGAAAATAAACATCTAGAAAGCAATAAAATACAAAGGGAAATTAGAACTCAAAGTTCGGATATCGCCTCCGAAGCTCGACCTCCTTTTCCCAAGTAGCCTCCGACTCGTCATGTCGGCTCCAAAGCACCTTCACCAAGCTCACTGCCCGGTTCCTCAACTGATGGACCTTCCGGTCCAAAATAGCTACCGGTACCTCCTCGTAGGTAAGGTCTCGCTCGACCTGCAGTTCGCCGAAGTCCACTACGTGATCGGGATCATGCACGTATCTCCGCAACATGGAGACATGAAACACGTCGTGCACTCCCGACAAGCTAGGTGGTAAAGCCAGCCGATAAGCCAAGTTCCCGACTCGGGCAAGGATCTCGAATGGCCCAATATAACGCGGTTTGAGCCTCCCCTTCTTCCCGAAGCGAATCACGCCCTTCATAGGCGAAACCTTCAGGAATACGTGATCGCCAACGGCATACTCGTGCTCACCCCTCTTCCGATCGGCATAGACCTTCTGCCTCTCTTAGGCGGACCGGATATGCTTCCGGATAGCCTCAACTGTCTCTGCGGCCCTAAGAATAAACTCTGGGCCCATAATCTTCCTCTCCCCGACCTCATCCCAGTACAAGGGTGTTCGGACCTTACGTCCATACAAAGCCTCGAATGGGGCCATCTTGATCGAGGAGTGGTAACTATTGTTGTAAGTCAGCTCGACCAATGGCAAGGCACTCTCCCAAGTCAGGCTACGGTCCAAGACCACAGCCCTCAATATGTCCTCCAAGTATTGGATCGTCCGCTCCGACTGACCATCCGTCTGAGGATGAAAAGCTGTACTGAACTCCAGCCTCGTCCCCACGGCCCGGTGCAGAGTTCTCCAGAACTGACTAGTGAACTTCACGTCTCGATCGGACACGATCTCAATAGGGACCCCATGAAGTTTGACAATATCATCCACGAACAAGTCGGCATACTGACTAGCCGTCATAGTCGTCCGGACTGGCAGAAAGTGAGCAGACTTGGTAAGGCGATCCACAATCACCCAAATGGAATCATGCCCGGCCCTCGACCTTGGCAATCCCACCAAGAAATCCATGGTGATGCACTCCCACTTCCACAAGGGGACCTCAAGTGGCTGCATTTTACCTCTCGGTTTCTGATGCTCAGCCTTCACTCGCTGACACACCAGACACCCATTTACGAACCTCGCCACTTGGTTCTTCATGCCTCGCCACCAAAACGACTTCCTCAAGTCCTGATACATCTTCGAGCTACCAGGATGGATGGTGTACGGGGCACTATGAGCCTCTCTCAAGATCTCCTTTCGCAGCTCCCACACCCTCGGAACACATAGTCTACCCTCGAAGACTAATGCTCCATCATATGCAACTGCGAATCCTCCGACTTTACCGGCTTCCGACAACTCCTTCATCCCGCGAAGGAAGCGATCATTCGGTTGCTGGGCGATTATTCTCTCACGAAGAGTCGGTCCCACAACCAAGGAGGTCAATGTACTCCTGGCTGTCGAAGTCGACTTCACCGCCTCTAGCTGTAGTCGCTCGAACTCCCGAAGAAGGACATCTTGCTTGGTAAAAAGACATGATAACTGGCCATAACTCCTCCGACTAAGGGCATCGGCTACCACATTAGCTTTCCCAGGATGGTAGCTAATCGTGCAATCGTAGTCCTTGACCAGTTCCAACCACCTACGCTGCCGCATATTCAGCTCCCTCTGAGTGAAAATATACTTTAGGCTCTTGTGGTCGGTGAAATTCTCACACTTGCCTCCATAGAGGTAGTGCCGCCAAATTTTCAAGGCGTGAACAACTGCAGCTAACTCGAGATCATGAGTGGGGTAGTTCTGCTCGTGGGGCTTCAGCTGCCTCGAAGCATACGCTACGACTCTCCCCTGCTGCATAAGAACACATCCCAAACCCATCTTCGAATCATCACTATATATGGTGAACTCCAAAGTAGGGTCGGGAATGGATAGAACGGGCGCGGTAGTGAGTCTCCTCTTCAACTCCTGGAAACTCTCCTCACATCTAGGACTCCATTCGAACCTCACGGCCTTCTTCGTAAGGTTGGTTAGTGGCTGGGCTATCTTCGAGAAGCCCTCTATGAACCTCCGATAGTATCCTGCTAACCCCAGGAAACTACGAACATCAGCGGCACTTCTTGGCGTATCCCACTTGCTCACTGCCTCGATCTTGCTGGGATCCACCTCAATGCCTCTCGCTGTCACAATGTGGCCAAGGAATGCCACACGATCCAACCAAAACTCACACTTCGAGAACTTAGCATACAACTTCTCGTGGCGAAGAGTCTCCAGCATAATCCTCAGATGCTCCTTGTGCTGGTCGATGTCTCGGGAATATACCAGGATGTCGTCGATGAACACAATAACAAACTGGTCCATAAACACGGTCGGGGCATTGCTGAGTCCGAATGGCATAACCACGAACTCATAATGGCCATATCGGGTACGGAAGGCAGTTTTAGAAATATTAGACTCACGGATCTTCAGCTGATGATAGCCAGAACGCAAGTCAATCTTCGAGAAGACGCTGGCTCCCCTCAACTGGTAAAAA